TGCGATCTGACGTGCCTTCGCTTCCATACAGATACACAGCGAAAGCGTCGAAGGTGGAACCTCCTGGGGTTTGCACCTTCGCTTGAGAGAGATGACCCCCGGCGATGCTGTGCCCCTCCGAAGGGGGGAACAAGCCGAGAAGGATTGGCGAGCACCGCAGTACCTCCGGAAGTGCCTCCTTCCGTCGAAACAGTTGGGTTCCACGAGCTCTTCCAACCATTGCGAGCGCACCGGTGAGAAGCAACGCGCATTCCTTGAATAGAGGCGAGCCTATGCTCCTGAACCAGAAGAATTGTGGCAGGCGTGTCAGGAAGCAGATTCTCGAGAGTGCCCCAGCTTTTGCAATTGAGACTGCGGACAATCAGCTCGATCGAGCGCAGCCCGTCGGACGCCGCGGGACCGCGCGTGGGATCTCTGGCCACGCGCGAGGCAAGAGGGGCAGCGGGAATCCTGGGACCAGGCACCACAACCACAGGAGAATCGGGCCCAGGAGAGGCCAGGACAGGATAGGCCTTCGTAGGGCAAACAAATCTGGCAGGCTCCGTGGCGGAGGCCTGCAGCGAGCCATGACCTGGGCCACCGACAAAACTCATTGCGACGTCCACAAAGTGTGACGCACCGCATTCCTAAGGCCCCCTCGGCCTTGGCAGCGGACATCGCGAGCGCGGAGAGAACGACGGAAGGAGGGCCGACAGGCCATTGGAGATGTGCGAAACGTATGATTAGTGCCGCTCCCCCCTCCGTTGAGGCGGTGGCCTGCGCATGGGGGAACTCGCCTTCTGAATCTTCTGTAGCTGCGAGCGCGGCATCAGCACGAGCTTTGCGCTCCGCAGTGGGAAGCTCACGCACAGGCTTTGAAGGCTGGCTCTGGGCCTCAGGCGCCTTCGCTGAAGATGCAGCTCCTCCTGCCGACGCTGCTCCACCGCTGGGCGCCGCCGAGGCTGCTGCTGCTGCAGCACCGTCGCCAGCACCAGTTGCGCCGTCGGCGTCTCCTGTAGGTACCGCTGGTTGGGCCGCTGCAGGAGCGTCGCCCTGGCGACGTCTCTTGGCCGCGAGGCGCCGCGCATTTTCTTCGAGATCTCCACGTTCCTTCTTAGCGTGGTCACTAGCCTGCTCGATCAGCGTGGCGGAGAGGTGCTTGGCTCCGCCGGCCAGCTGCTTGGAACGACGGTCCACCCCGTCACCACCTTGTGATGAGACTTCGTACTCCGTGTCGTCGACATTGAGGAGTTCCACGTCGATTGCGAGCACGTCGTCGACCTCCCCGTCCAAGATGTCCTTAACTGAGAGAACTGCTAAACCAGAAGCGTGCTCACGAGCAAGCTCACCAATGGGCGATTTGCGCGTGTCTTCCACCGTCTGAAGCTCCTTTTTTTTCGCAAGGAGGCGACTTCTTCACGTTGACGACGGAGAGCGCTTTCCTGTTCCTCGTATTCGATGAGAGCTGCCTGAAGCCGCTTCTCCGTCTGTCCGAGCTTGCCGCGCGCGGAGTTGACTTGGAAGTGCAGGGGCTGCGTGGGGGAAGGCAAGCGTCGATCCTGTGTCGCGGCTCGATGCCTAGCACCTCCTTCGGCGCCGCCTCCTTTCTCGTGGAGCACAGCAAGTGGATCACTTGCATCAGGAGACAACCCGTCCAAAGCAAGAGCAGACTTGTCCTTGGTGGTCGTACCATCCTTGGTGGGAGGGTATGTCCATTCACGTGTCGGTGGCCATGGCGACTTACAGTGCTTGCACCATGTCCACGGCGCCAAGGTCTTCTTACACCCGCACTGGCAGCAAACCCATCGACCCTGGACCAACTGTCGCTGGCCACCACCTCCTTTACCAGAACCTTTTCCTGCTCCGCCTGCACCAGGTTGAGGCGCAGATTTGGGGCGACGGGAGCGATTCCAGCGGTTGACAAGCCCGTCAGAAGGAGCACCACAGCGACCAGCCATGGCGGCGCCTGACGACGGGAAATGTTTCCGTGCCTGGGCTGCCTGGGGGAATTGCTCGCTATCGCACGGCCTTTCCGAACAGTTCGCTACGGCAAAGGCCTGGGCCTCGGAAAGGCTAGTTCTTGAGCCAGACAGGTTGAACCAAAATGACTTGAGCCAATATGACTACGGAGCCGTCCGGGGGCATGGAGGAAGCGTTATTGGGGGGATGGCATTTTGGGTCGGATCCCCCCCCCCGCAGACGCGGGGCCTCTTCTCCCCCCGGCGGGAAAGGGATGAAATGGAAGGGGCTTCCCTTCGACTCAACTACGACGTTGTTCAATTTCGTTGTGGCTAGTGGAGATCGGTACCCCCCCCACAGACCCGGGACCCCCCATGCACCTCTCTTCGTTTCGCTGCGACTTGCGACCTTGAGGAGGAAAGCCTAGAGAGGGATCGCCAGGGGCGGATAGTAGTTTGGGTCGGGACCCCCCCCCCGCAGACCCGGGACCCCCCCTCCCGGCGGAGAAGGGATCAAAGGGAAGGGGCTCCCCTTCGACTCAACTGCGGCGTTTAATGTCGTTGTGACTGGGGGAGATTGTATTCTGGGTCGGGACACCTCCCCCCTCCCCCCGCTTCGTTGTGATTGGCGCGCTTGGGGAGGAGAGCCGAGGGAGGGATCGTCAGGGGGATGGTATTCTGGGTCGGGACCCCCCCACAGACCCGGGACCCCCCATCCCCCTCCTGGCGGGGAAGGGATCAAAAGGAAGGGGTTTCCTTTCGACTCAACTACGACGTTGTTCAATTTCGTTGTGACTGGTGCGCTTGAGGAGGAGAGCCCAGGGAGGGATCGTCACGGGCGGATGGTATTCTGGGTCGGGACCCCCCCCCACAGACCCGGGACCCCCCCCTCCCGGCGGGGAAGGGATCAAAGGGAAGGGGCTTCCCTTCGACTCAACTGCGGCGTTTAATGTCGTTGCCACTGGGGGAAATTGTATTCTGGGTCGGGACACCCCCCTCCCCCCGCTTCGTTGTGACCTGGCGCGCTTGAGGAGGAGAGCCCAGGGAGGGATCGTCAGAGGGGGATGGTATTCTGGGTCGGGGCCCCCCCACAGACCCGCCCCCCCCCCCCTCCCGGCGGGGAGAGGATCAAATGGAAGGGGGTTCTTTTCGACTCAACTACGACGTTGTTCAATTTCGTTGTGACTGGCGCGCCCAGGGAGGGCCCAGGGAAAGGAAAGGAAAGGAAAGGAACGGCGACGTTTGGACCGATCGTTCGACGATTCGAGGCCCTCGAAGACGAAGACGAAGACGAAGACGAAGACGACGAACGGGAGAGCGTCTTCCACACGCTGGCGCAGGGTCGGCGGCTTTTGCGTCCAATTTCCGCCTGCAGGAGGAGGACACGCCTGACCGAACGCTAGATTTGCGAGTTGTCAGCGCCCTACGCGCAAGTCGCCGCGACGCGGACCTGCCGTTGGGGGGCGGGCTGGCGGGGGCGGGGGGAAGGTCGGCGGAGGAGGGCGCCCATGGAGAGAGCAGGGGCAGGCGCGGGTGCGCCTCAGCGCCCTCGCTGGCGCGCGAGACTTCCACGAGCCATCAGGAGGTAAAAAGAAACACAGAAACAATTCATCGTCGACCCCCCAGAAAATTGGAGGTTGGGGGGTGAAATCGCAGTGAAACGGAGACCCCCCACCGGGAAAGCGGTTTCGGTTTCGTGCTCGTGTCGTGCGTGCGGGCGAGGCGAAGCTGCGCGTGATCCTCCTGTAGCTAGGCCGAAGTAGGAGCGAAAGTCCGTCCCCCGTCCGCCGGTGGCCGGGAGGTGTCCCAGTTGGGCCGGTCGGTGTCCCGGGTGTCCCGGGTGTCAGTAGGAGCGAAAGTCCGTTTCCCGTTGGCCGGTGGCCGGGAGGTGTCCCAGTTGGGCCGGGCGGTGTCCCGGGTGTCCCGGGTGTCCTGGGCGGCCCGGCGCTAACGCATGTCGCTAATTTCATAATTAATGTTTTTCGGCGTTTGCGGCGGGTTTTCTTATCCAACCCTGTTTATCTTATCCAATCCATGTTGTCCAATCCAGTACATCTTATCTTATCCAGCCGATCTTGTCCCATCTTATCTGATCCCACCCAATCCCATCCACCCAACCCAATATATCAATTCGTTTGTTTCTGCGCCTGCGGCGGGCCAATCCAATCCATCTTATATTATCCAATACAGTTCTTCCAATCCAACCCATCTTATCTTATTCAATACATCTTATCCCATCCAATTCAATCCAGCCAACCCAATCCATCAATTCATTGTTGCCGGCGCCTGCGGCGGGCTTTCTTATCCAATCCAGCTTATCTTATCCAATCCATCTTGTCCAATCCAATCCATGTGATCTTATCCAACCCATCTTGTCCCACAGACTGGAGGTCAGGTGACAGGCTGGAGGTCAGTCATGGTGGGCATTTGATCCCAATCCCCCCCCAACCTCCTTATCGCCCGCAGGGCGGTCGTATAGGCATGGGCAAAGATGGGAAGTGGGGGGGAAGACGAAAGCCTAGAACATATTGGAAACTAGTGGGCATCCTGTTATTTGTGTCTATTTCTTTGTGTGTCCCAGGGCCCCTGCAAGCCAGCCTGGCGCGGGTCTCTCATGCCGGGGAAAAGGGCCGGATTGTGTGTTGCCGCGCTCCGCGAGTGCGGCCGCGGCGACTTGGCCCTTCCAGTCCGGGCCCGCCCGCTCTCTCGGAGCCTCCCCGGTGCGCCTCGGCCCCAGCCTGTCTGCAGCCTGCCCGCGTGATGGCGAAGGACGCTCCACCCTCGCCGCCGCCGCCGCCGTCATCACCGCTGGCGTCGTCGCTGTCGCCGTCGTCGACGTCGTCACCATCGGTGACCATCGGCGTCGACGTCGTCGCCGTCGATGTCGTTGCCGTCCGCGTCGGCATTGCCGTCGTCGAGATGTTGAGATCGTCGCGGACGCCGCCGTCGTCGTCGCCGTCGACGTCCTCGTCGCCGTCGTCGCCGTCGCCGTCGACGACGTCGCCGTCGTCCTCGTCGTCCTCGTCGCCGCCGCCGTCGCCCCGGCGGGCGGGGGGGCGGCAGGTGGACGGCGAGAGCTCCGTGGCGCCCCGCCGCATGCGCGTGCCGCAGGGCCTGGGCTCGGAGGACGAGGTGGTCGCGTTCTCGCGGCTGCAGTCGGAGGCCCCCCGGGGGGGCCGGGCGCGGCGCGGGGGCCAGAGAGAGGCGGCGCGGCGCCTCTCCTGCTGCGGCGTCGGGGGTGGCGGGTCCTGCCCCGGCGGCCACCGAGGTCTTTGACGACGACCACGACCAGGACTTCTGTTGCTCCAACCTACTTTGGCCTCAACCACCAGAAAGAATGTCGAGCGCCCAAAAAAGTGCCGAAACTCAAGGGTTTTCACGTGTCGGGCCTTGGGCGACACTGTTTCGGCACTGTTTCGACACTCTTTTGATACTTTTCCGGGTGTTCGAAATTATTTCTGGGATGTGGTCCTGAAGTAGGATGGGAACAACATAAACCACGACCAGGACCACGATGACCGCGACTACGACGAGGGCCACGACGACGCCCACGACGGACCAGGGCTGCCGACGTCGCTTCGCTGCCCCTCCCATGTCCTTACCGGAAGCTTTGTTGCGTGATATCCGGCCCCGAGCCAAACATCCAGGTCGGGTTTGAAGGTCGCCGCAGCGATCGCGGCTGCCACAACTCGGGGCAAGGCTTGCTCAAGGAGTGGCATGCCTCTTCTCCCCCCGGCCCTTCCTTCCGCTCTGCGATGTAGCGGTTGATCGCCATTCGCAATAAACCGAATGAGTGCTATCAATGTTTAGTCCATTCTATCATGGGCAGTCCAGTTTTGTCGGTTAGGGGCGAATCATCACGCAACCACAGCTGTTGCCATAATCATATACAGCTGGACCGAGGTATCAGATCGAGGTCGGTTCGGGGAGGGTGCCAGTCGGGTTAACCCAAAAGGGGGTCCAGCGACAAGGGGCTGGCGCAATAGATTTGGTGCCATATATTTGTAAGGTTGCAATACATTTGGGGCGTGCAACGCATTCCGGGGCGCAAATGCATTGCTGGATTATTTTCGCGTGCAATATATTACTTGCTATACAAAGCAATACCATTCTCCGGCGAGGTACACTGGCAATACCTTCGCCCCAAATTTGTTGCACCGCCCCCTCTCAGCTGGACCCCCTTTTGGGTGTGCTTGACCCATCGGGCCGAACGAAACGGGGGGTTACGACTCGACATCTGCTGCGTGCAGCTGGTTTCGGCCCCGCCGCCGGGCCCTGTCCTCGATACATGGGTGCCTCCCGGCGCCGGGAGGCGCTGGGCAAATCAGCCACGTGAGCTGATTCTCTACCCTACAGTCGGGGCCCTGAACAAGGAACCCTTTTCGTTGGGGAGGGGCTCCGCGTTCCTTAAGTGTTTCACAGCTTGCCTCAGGCTTTCCTTATGTTTTCGACAGGAAATCGAAGGGTTAACTTATGGAAGAAAGGAGCCTCGTTCCATATTTAGGGTTCCTTAGGTCAACGCCCCGACTGTACCCTTTGCTGTCCCCCCCTTTCGTTCCCCCCGAACCCGGGTCCGACTGCAGCAGCTGCCTGGGGTGTTGCTCGAAGCGGCCCCGGCGTCGGCGCGGCTCCGACCCCCCTCGGCGGGGCAGCGCCGCCCCCCCGCCCTCTGCTTGGGCGGCGGGGCTGCCGAAGCCGGGCAGCGGCGGGGGTGCCGGCGGAGTCCCGCGGGGCAGGTCGGTTGGGCGCGGATTCCATGGGGGGGGCGATGGTCAGGATGAAAAAAGACACACAGATCTGGACGCCCGAAATGGTTACCGAAAGAATGGGTACAATGCCCAACAGCAGTTCCTGTTCATTTTGAACAGGCCTCGCCGTCCACGCCGCCGCGGCCTGTGTCCATTCGAGACAGGAGGCCGCCTGCCCAACAGCGGCCGCTGTTGGTTTGGGACAACATTTGTTGTTGGGCATCGTACCCATTTTTTCGGTACCCATGTCGGGCGTCCAAAACAGACACAATGAATCGTCGATTCCCCCGAAAAGATGGGACAAATATGGGAAGTGGGGGGGAAGACAAACACCCAGAACATATGGGAACATGTAGGGGATCTGTTTATTTGTGTGTATTTATTTGTGTGTCCTGGGGCCCCTTCAGGTTGGGCGCGAATTCACTGGGGGGCGATACAGTGAGCGGCTTGACTAAGGAATGCTTGCCTCTCAACAGGGGTTCGGTCGTTCCCCAGGTTGGCGTGCGCTGTTCGTCGTTCCCGATGCGTCACTCCTTATTTCTCGTTCGTTACGCGTTGTTCCCTGGAAAAAACGCGGGGGCTTCGTTCCCCAGTTATCGTTCCTTAGGTCAGGCCGATGACTGTGGGTGCCCTTCTCTCGGATGCTCGGGGCCTTCTCTCGGGCCCTGAAGAAGGGGCCCTTCTCGGGCCCCAGAGGCCCCGGTTTGCGGCCCCGAAGGGCCCCTTCAGGGGCCCCAGAGTGCCTCTTTCCGGCAGCCCTCGCTGCCCCTCCCCATTCATCGACCCCCCATTGCGCGGCCTCCAAGTCAGTTGGAGGTGCTGGCGCTACAAGCGAAACGTCGCGACATTTTGGATGGAGGGCTTCTGGAATGCCCAGATAGACATAGAAGTTTCTGAATAGTTCGATGACAGGTTTTGCCGAACAAGGTCGGTCAGCGGTTGGTCAGTCCCGAGTTCCAGGCATCCTACGTGGGGACGAAGAAGATGGGGTCTGAGGATCGCGCACCACTGCATTGGAGATGCGTATTCTGACGTTCACCACCCCGAAGTCGCCGATGCATCGCCGGTAACGATGGGAGTTCAATTCACGACGTTGGCCTAGGACAGGACAATGTAATTGTCCGGCCTCGCCTGCTTCGGACACATTTGGGCGGTCTCATGCGGGTGATCAGAGGGTAGCGTGGATAGTTATTGGATAGGATAGATAGCTTTAGTACGGTCGCCATGCAGTTGCTTGTTTGCTCCTGCAGATTGCTTCTGGTTGGGTTCGGGTCTGGAGGCGTGTCCCATCGGTTGGGCCTCGGTCGCTTGACAGCTCCAGCTGCCGTCTCCATGGTACTCCCACGGCCCGACAACAAAATATCAGGAGGGATAAACACACACAACACAACACAACACAGCACATCACAACACAACACAACACAACACAACACAATTCAACACACACACACACACACGCAGACAGACAGAGACACGATTAATCGTCGATCCCCAGGAAAATATGGAAAAATGGGAAGTTTGGGGAAGACGAAAATCAAGAAAGTATTAGAAAACATGCGGAATCTTGGGATTTGTGTGGATTGATTTGTGTGTCCCAGGGCCCCTTCAATATGATTCGTGTCGCTGACCCTTGAAGCTCTCCCTCCCCCAGGACCCGTTCTCCAGCCCGAGTCCCGAGTGGTCTTCGGACGGAGCCAGGGCTGATCAGTCGGCGCAAGGTGCCCGCTCCCCCAGACTTCCTTGTACGTTGCCGGACCTTTCCTCGAAGACGAACATCGGGAGCCTTGTGACGGGGGTCAATGCAAACGTGGGGCAGCCAGAGCGCGGGATCTTGCAGGATCCTGCAGGGGCAGGGTCGCACTGACCCGGGCTTGGGTGCAGGATCCTGCAGGATCCTTCGCATCGGCCGGGGCTTGGGTGCAGGATCTCGCAGGATTATGTAGGGCCTGACTGACCCGGGTCTGGACGGACCTGGGTCCGAAGATCCCCGAGAACAGCTTGCATAGCCACACACTGTCAGAGGTCCGCAAGGACCTTCGGAATTCGTGCGCGTCGAGGGCCGCGCCGGAGGCACCTCCAGAGGGTTGGGCGCCGATATCAGCATGGGGTGACCGTTCCCCGGGGAAGCAAAGGACCTCTCTTGAGGGAGGGCTCCCAGGGATCGAACATGTTGAAAAAATCACGACGGAGTTTTTCGCTATGTTCGGCCTCTAGGGTCCCTCGCCCGTCCCCAGGACCGTCAAAAAACGAATCAGGGTGAAGAACCTGTCCTGGGGAAGGGATTGAGTTTTCTGGGGACCCCGTATTGAACAAATCACGACATCGGATTTGGGGGTTCGGATTTTTGAGGGGGTTGGGGTTTTTGCGTCACCCGGGGCGCCCCTGGAGGTTCCCGGAGGCCCCCGGCAGCCCTCGGAGGCTTTCGAAGGCGCCCAGAAGCTCCCAGAGGCTTTCAAAGGCCCCCTGAGCTTCTAGGCCCGAGGCGTCCGAGTAGATGGGGTCGGAGGATCACGCCGCATCGCTGATCCATCGCCGATGCGGCTCGATGTGGAGCCCGATTTGCTTCACGTCGACGTCGCCGATGCATCGCCGACGTCGCCGATGCATCGCTGGTGCATCGCCGATGCATCGCCGATGTATCGGAAATGCTGCGCGGTCCTCCGACCCCATCTCCTCCGACCCCTATCTAGGAGGCCTCCAGAGATTCTGGGAGGTTTCCAGAAGGCCTCGGAGGCCCCCAGGCGCCTTCGGAGGCCGTCGCAGTATCCACCAGCGCATCCTGAATCGATACCCAGGCGACTTTCCTGGTTGGACAAAGAGCTGGGGAAGTCGTCAAACCGAAGCCTTGGGTCAGCCTGGACAGGCCCGTCAAGCCTTCGTAGAGCTCTCGCTCCGCGAGCCTCTTGGAAGCCTCTTCGAGCCATACTGGGGCCATTTTGGTAGCGTTGTTGTGCCACTCGGAGCACTCTTTGACGCCTCGTGGGGCTCCTTGGGGGGCTCTGCCCTCTTGGAGGCCGTTGGGCGAAGGCTGTTTTCGGCGTGCCCCCCTGGGCCTGGGAGATTGACAAATCGCCTCTTGTGGTCCTCTTGGTGCGCTCTCGGGTGCCTCTTGGGCGTTCTTGGGGCCCTCTTGGGGGCCTCTTGGGGCCGTATTGGGGCACTGTTGGGCCATTTTGGCGTCATTTTCTGGCCTCGAAGGCCCATCGGAAGCGAAAAGGCGAGGACGCAAAACACATTGATATGCCCTCAGTATTGCAAGGATCTTGGCCTTTCGAGAGGGTCCCTGGAGGGCTCCGAGAGCACCCACAACTGCCCTGGAGGCGTCTTGGAGGCTATCTTGAACCCAGTCGGGCTAGCTGGAGCCATCTTGAAGGCCATCTTGAAGGCCATCTTGAGGGCCATCTCGGGACCATC